GTGGGGGGGTGTCTGGGGGAGGGAGGGAGGGAAGGAGGGAAGGAGGGAGGGAGGGAGAGGAACAGAGAGATATAGAAGAACCCAGGCAGCACACTGGCAGAAAATATATAGAACAGTGACTGACTTCCCTTGATGAGTCTCTGATCTTCACAACCCTGAAAACAGTGAAGCTGTGCAATGGTGAGAGTGTAGGTTTTATATCTGGCAATGAGACTGGCGCTCAATGTAAGTTACATGTTATCCTAAACAAGTGCTACAATTACATCATTTACTAGGTAATAAAATGGAGATGTAGACTGGATAAGTATATCACTAGGGGGTGATGTGCTCAGGAAGTAAAGGATGAAAGCAGGATTTGAACCTAGCAATCTGATACCCAGGCCCTACCTAGCTCTTAGCCACTGATCTAGGCTAGACTGAGGCACTTACTCATCACCCCCTGCAGCCTTTCTCCTGAGACCCCTTCACCAACAAAACACTCTGTGTGTCATTGTATTAGTAACTGCTGCTAGCCGGCTGCCCACAAAACTGAAGCCCAGTGTGACACTGGTAGCAGGGATAACACATGCAACACCAATGGAGCTGAGCTAACCTGAGACCTTGTTTGTAAGTGTATCTGTGCACTCAACTTTAAATGCTCAGCTTTAAAAACGGAGGCTGGTTTCAAAGGCCGAGAAGATGAGTAGATTTGCTGTGTTTTAAGTTAACTAGATAATATTCTTGATCAATAATGGAGGGAGGAGAGGACAAAAGTGGAAGATGACTGCGGCTAGTAAAAATCACCTCAGTTTTGGTACTGATGTTGAAAATGACTTGCCTTCTTCATATCCAGATTGGTAGATGCATCTAGAGCTGAACTCCAAGTAGACATGGGAACAGCTTTGAAGAAAAAGGATTCATGACAAATTATAGAGAAAAGAAAATGAGTGTTTTGCACTGAGATTATGTCTCTAATACCATTTATCCTAAGCAGTTAAATGCCCCCAACCTCCCTCTTCTCATTGGGCATGTTTCGATTAGTTGTTTATGGCCTGTTCATTCTTTCTGAATTGATTCTCTCTTCTTCCCATCCCTTTTCTTTCCTCTCCCTCACTTCTGTCTCTGAACCAAGTCATGTTGAAGAATCTTGGGTTAAAATAAATTTAACTTCTCAGCTCAATGGCACAATCAAAGCTAGGTTTCCAGTGATCATTGAAGAGGTGCCCCTGCAACCACTCTCAGCATTTTGAAACACAAACATCCTTGTAGTGCAAACACATCTTCCTTCAGTTTTTAAGAATTACAGCACTCTCATCTTGTAACATGAGTCACCTCTACTTTCTTCTTAATGTCTCCACAGAAATTGACCTCTGTGGTGATGTTTTTCTCATCTGCACTCACCATCTGCCACGAGCACTGCCTTCCTTCAGACATGTACATCTTTTTAAGTCTTTTCAAGTAAAATAGTCTCACTTACACTCCACCACCTGACTTATCAACCTATCTTACCCTCCATTGTCAGGGTTTTGACACCTTAGGTATGATGATACCGAAGTTTTAACTGAGAATCGCTTGTGGGGCTTAAAAAATGGCTCAGTAGTTAAGAGCACTAGTTGCAGAATACCTGGGTTCAGTTCCCATCAATCACATGGCATTTTACAACCTCTGTACCTACAGTTCAGGTATTCTGATGCCCTCTTCTAGCCTCCTTGGACAATAGATATGTATGCAGTGCATACAGATACATGGAGGTAAAATACTCAGACACATAAAAATGATTAAATATAAAATTTAAAAACAGCCACTTGTGATACCTCAGTGACTGGCAAGAAGAGCTTCTGGGACTGAGCCCTTGTCCTGTCTCTGAGGAACATCATTTACTACTTGTCCTCCCAGCTTCCTCCTATTGCCACTCAGATGCATCTCAGTTCTAACTATAAACTTCTCTGATTAGGCCTGTGACAAAGCCAGAAAAAATCCTCTGAGAGGCTTTTCCATACACAGTATGATATTAGTCAGAAATGTTAGATTCACTGCTTTTAATGAAGAGCATTAACCTTAGAAATCAACAGGTAACAATCACTAACCTCCCACCAGTAATACACACACCCCCATACGAGAGAGAGAGAGACAGAGACAGAGAGATGGAGAGAGAGACGGAGAGACAGAGAGAGACAGAGAGACAGAGACAGGGAGATAGAGAGACTGAAACAGAGAGCAAGAATTTATACAGAGACATTGTAAAAGTCTGCTAAAATAATCTTTGGATTTGTGCTAACAAGCATGAAATGATAAAAGAAATTTCAAAATCTCATACTAGTAAAATCAGGGTAGAAAAGAGTAGAAGTGGGTGATCCTGTGAACTTTCCAGAAAGATGCAGGGAAAGAAAATGACTAAGAATCTGAAGAGGGAACAGACCACAGGCAGACAGTTAGCCAGCTTTCCCACTCCTAGCATCAATAAGCCTTCTGCCCTCAGAACTCAAAATCCTTGACAGTAGCATCTATTTTAAGGAACCAGAAGATAGAAGACTAATCTGAGAGCTGAGTAATCATAAAGTCTCATCGTGTCCAGGACTTGAGTTAAACGTCCTGGAGTCACCCAACATTCACTGCTCATGATGCTGTAATGATGTCATAAATGGAGCCGGCCCCCGACCCACCCCCAGCCTCCCAGAGCTCAGCAGAGGAACCAGAGGGAAAGTCCACCTTCCCAAGCACAGCCTTACCATCCACCTCAGTCGACTGCTTGTCAATTTCACTACCAACAGAAAGGGGTGAGTTGCATCTGGACAACGATGATGGTTGTTCTTGTGCATCTTCTGTCCTAAAAATGGCTGCATCAACCCAGCACTGAGTAGAGCTGGGAGGGTTTTGTTTTGTGAAAGTTTCTTGTTATTTTGAATAGCAAGAACTAGAGTGAACATTACCCATTTTAGAGTTCCATTTAAAGAGCTGCCTCCCCAGAGAGTCATACCAATTTTAAAACTACATTTCACAGAATTTTACTTTTTATTAAATAAAATCAAATACCAACTAAAGCCAACATTGAGTGTTGTTAGAAACTAAAAACTAAGTCTAGAAATCAAACTTTCCATAGGAAAAGACCTACCTCACAGTAGAACTAAACAGAAAGGAATTCCCTTCTGGAAATCATATTTCATGCTTCAAGAAATTAGATCCCCCACCTAATCTCTTTCTTGATTTCTTCCCTTTCCCCAATTGTTTGGCAGAACCAAAGATTTCCTGAGGGAAAGGTAGAGGGTGGTTCCAGAATGGTCCACCATGGGTTTAAGATTAGTCTCAAGTACCTTGCTGCCTCCGTCCACCAGAGAAAAAAAGCAATTTTCAATGCTGAGTGGCTTAGGAAACAACTTACAGATGTGCCTGCAGTTCCAAAGCCTACTCACAAACCACCTGCCTCCAGAATGGAGAGAAGTGTCCTGTCAGGGTTTTGCTGAACCATAGATGCTCTTAGCAATGTAATCAAAATTATGGACTCCTTTAAATAATAGCTTATATGAGTTACATTAAACACTTGGGGTTACAAAAAATATCAACACTGAAATTACAGGTCTTATGATTGTTGGGACATTCCAGGCCTCTAAGAACACCTGCTTAGTCTAGAATGGAAACAGGGTAATAGAAAATCAGAGTGTAGGCACCCAGACATACTTCACATCCACACACAAGGACAGCTCTTAATGAGATGGTCCTTTAATTGAACATATGGAAAGCTTCTTGAGAAAACAGGACAAGCCAGCAGGAAGAAGCCCCATGAATTGTCCCTCAATGACACTCTGTCTCCCATTTCTTCTCAGGCCTACATATCCACGGAAGAAATGTCAAGTGATAAGTCCAGTAGCCCTAAGAATGATCTCAAGAATTGTGATCCCAGATGTGAACAAAAGTGTGAGACCAAATGCCAGCCCAGCTGTCTAAGGAAGCTGCTACAACGCTGCTCTGACAAGTGTACACTAGACAAGTGCCCACCACCACCAAAGTGTCCTCCATGTCCTCCATGTCCCCTAGTGTGTCAACCACAGTGTTCTGCACCAACCTCCCCTCTGTGTCCCCCACTGTGCTCCCCAAAATGTACCTGGACATGTCCACCACCATGCTCATGCCCTGCAACATGTCCATGCCCTAACAAGGGATGTGTTAAGCCTTGCCCTCCCAAGTGCCCCTCTCCATGCCGACCCCCAGAGTGAGGCACCATGGGCAACACCAAACTCACCACCACTAGCCTCCATTACTACCTACAATGTTATGGAGCTGGAAGTGAAACCATGAACTGACAAAGACCTTCTTCTGCTGTGGAACACTTCTGTCACTTTGGAGGATTTGCTTTGTTTTGTGGTGGTTGTTACAGAGCACTCTGCCAAGAAGCAGTCCATGGGAGTGAGATCTTTGAGGACCCCACAGCCTCTGCTTGTCACTTAGGGGAAGTTACCTTTCCAGAGAATGCCAAATCCTGCTAGAGCAATGCATGACACCAACCTCACCACCACTGGCCTCTATTACCATCTACAACATTGTGGGGCTGGAAGTGAAACTATGAACTGACAAGTAAACACGTTCCTCTGCTGTGCAAGATGTCTATTGCCTTGGAGGAGTTGCTTTATTTTATGGTGGTTGTTATATAGTACTATGCCAAGAAGCAATCCCTGGCAGTGAGAGATCTCTGAGGACCCCATTGCCTCTGCCTGTCACTTAGGGGAAGGTGCCTTTCCAGAGAATGCCAAGCCTTGCTAGAGTAATGTATGAATGATTCTTAACTGTGGTTGTATCTGGTAAAGTATGTAACCTAGGAAACAAGGCAGGGGGGGAGGGAGAAGGAGAGAAACAGAGAGAGAGAGGGAGAGAGAGAGAGAGAGAGAGAGAGAGAGAGAGAGAGAGGACAGAGAGAGAGAGAGAGAGAGAGAGAGAGAGAGAGAGAGAGAGAGAGAGAGAGAGAGAGACAGAGCGAGCAGACTGTTTGGGTTTAAACTATAGTTCAGTGGTTCTCAGCCTGTGGGTTACGATCCTTTTAGGGGTCGCATATCAGATTTCATGCATATCAGATATTAATATTAAGATTCATGACAATTACAAAGTAGCAACATGATAATTTTATAGTTGGGGTCTCTAAAACATGAAGAACTATATTAAAGGGTCACAGTATTAGGAGAGTTGAGAAGCACTGATCTAGCTGCACGCTGAAATAACATTGTAACTTACGTGGGTTACTTATCATGCCTCGGTTTCCTTCACTATACCATAGGGAAGATGGTACAAACAGTACTGCTGTAACAGTACTGTAAGATTTAGGATAGGAAGAGATCAATGTCAGGTGCTTAGTGTACTGGAACGCAGTAGATCAGTGATTCTCAGCCCTTTAGTGTTGAATTTTTACAGGTGTCACATATCAGATGTCCACAGATCAGATATTCACATTACTATTCAGAACAGTAGCAAAATTCTAGTTATGAAGTAGCAATGAAATAATTTTATGGTTAGAGATCACACGTGAACTGTATTAAAAGGTCCCAGCCTTACTTACTTAGGAAGGCTGAGAATCACTGTAGTAGACAGTAGGGGAAGAAGCAGTACATTGTTCACATCTGAGCTCCACTGTTCCACACCTCTCCTCTGAGTAGACTAAATCTTCTGAGCACAGTGTTCATGTTCTTCTGTGCCCCTGCAGGCACAGATGTAGACATTATTAAAATAAAAAGGAATTGAGGGTTGTATCATCTACTTCACTTTGATATTAAAATTCTATAACATGTCAACACTTCAAGAACCCAAATAAAGAATACATGGGTCCTCTGTCTTTGTAAATTTATGTGAATCTATAATATTTCAGAATTAAAACTGAAGTACAAAAACTAGATATGCATGTAGGAGGACCACAATTAGGGAAGTCATTCATAACTAATATTTTAATAAGAATTTTACAAGGGGTTAGAGAGTTCAGAACAAACCTAATAAATCCACAAGAAGGAATGTGTTGGCTCATATTGCTGAGATGGATACTGGAGTGGGATATAGAATTAAAGAAAACTATAGCAAGCAAGAGCCCCAGAACCTATGTACATGGACTCACCCACAACTTTAAGTCTCCTCCTCTTCTTCCTCCTCCTCCTCCTCCTCCTCCTCCTCCTCCTCCTCCTCCTCCCCCTCCCTCAGCATGCAGCCAATTCTATCTGAGCATTCTTGTGCCAGGTTCAAAGGTCAAGTTTGTGAATGGTCAAGATGTTCCTCTTATCTCCAGGCAAGCACCTATTTTCCTAGGTCATGAGCTTACTCCTGTAGCCAGACATGTGACAGCTTTGTCACACAGATCCAACTATCTGTGCATTATAATGGTCCACAATATTTAAGTGGAAATATGTTTGGGATTCTTTGCAGTAACAGTAAGAGTTCATGAAAGAGGCTGACCCAAGAATGGCTCTCCACGGACTCTTAAGCATGTTAATAGCTCCTAGTCCTTATAAGGGTATTGAGAAAATGGTTCAAAACAGTGAAAGGCAAATACAGATACTACAAAAAGTGCCTGAAAAAAGGAACCAGGGACAACTTGATCAAAGCCACATACTCATTATTTAGGAGGCAAAGCTAGACAAGGACTTCAGGGAACTGTTCTCTCAGTTTCCAGATGTGAAATCTCATAGTTTAACTTCCTCAGACCTGAAGAAGGCCTGAATCTTAGAGTCTCCTGGCAGGGATAGGAGTCTTTCCCCAAAGCTCCCACAGTCTGGCACCTGTGCAGAAAGCTGTCTGCCAAACATCAGAAACTTCTGGAAACCCCTTGTTAGATTATACTGTGATCAACTGTTGATAACAGGAGGAAAAACATCTCACCTCAGAGGCAATCAAAACAGGGAAGGCAGGAGGAAGACAGAGGATAGAATAAGACAATCAATACAAAGAGAAGAGGAAAGACACTATAGAATGAGATGTATCTAAATTGTCACTAAAATAACAAATCCCTGGAACCCAGTGTTAAAAGATGGTGTCGTTATTAATCATTGTTTTAGAAAACAATTTTGCAAACCTATGTCAAAAGCATGAAATTCCTCAACAGTTTGTCCTAGTGAATTCAATTCAGAAAATTTAGACAAAGAAAAGTATCTATGGTGGTGGGAATGGAAGTTATGTAAATAAAGGCAATTATCACAGTGTAAGTTAGAAAACCTGTAAATATCTAACAGATTTGATTAAATTTAGACTTGTTACTTGAAGCACTACTCAGCCCACTGAAGAAGGGCAGAAGCTGTAGATTAGTGGTAGTGTTGGGTTGTAGGGTAGATGCTGAGAAAACTCACTTCAGAGACAGGAGCTTAAAAATGAAAGCTTTATTTTCTGCGTGAGCAGGGAAGTGGCCAGTTCAGGATCTGAACTGCATCCCTGAAGGGAGATTGTGCAACATTTTTATAGGATGAGAACACAAAGTGAGGAGGATCAGGGTGTGCTGATGGATTCACCAATCATATTTTGACACAAGGGGTTAAGCAAGGAACTTAATATTGGTGACTGGGTCTTATCGAGTCACCCAGTTTTAGGGTCCTTGATTCAGCTTTTGCAGTCAGGTTCCATCCTGGCCTCTGATCTGGAGCTTAGAATGATAAGGGTCCAAATGAGTGGGCAACCTGTACATTTACAACTTGTATGCCCTAGTTTACATAATTGGCAACTTCCCTCTTTACACTCTTTACCACTTAACAGACAAATGTGAAACACCTGAAGAAGCAGAATAGGAACTAGTTCTCGGGCCTGGGACCATGAACTCAATCTTGGCCTGGCAGCAAGATAAAACTTGCTCCTGAAATGGCTCCACTCGGGAAATATCTCCTAACAGTAGAATATTTCAGCATATCCAAAGCCTTGAGTGTGCTGACCAATATGAAAAGTAAAGAATTAAAGAAGAAATAAGGCTTCATCTTGCATGAAGCAAGTACTTTCAACACAAAACTATTATGAATAATAATAGTAGAAAATTTGTTCATGTCCTGTTTTAGTAAAATGAGGTTATAAATAACTATACCATTACTTTCTAAATTTTACTTAACATGCACTCATTTATTCATCATATAATAGAGTAAAAAGAAATTATCGTGAAACAATTATTAATACAGCAAGGACTGCCAGGGTGTCTGGAAGATCTTAGAAGGGTGTGTGTGCAGTATAGAAGGAACTTCACTTTGAGTGCATGGTCTTCCAAGTGGTGCTATTAGAAAATAGGCCAAGTATTTCTAGAACCCCAGGTACAGTCTAGGAGAAGACCAGATCTGAGAACATGAAAACATCTCTTGCCAGTATGTCATTCCTTCCATGTAAATGAAACTGAAGATAGACATCTTAATGGTTACCTTCTCAACAGAGAAATAGATCAAAGGCAGTTCTGGGGAAGAAGACCAGAATGTGATGAGGATGCCAGCTTTCAACAGAATGCTGTAATTACTCTCAGCTCCCATGACAGTCACAAAGGCTCTGCCTTAAATGGTAGAGGGATGTACAAATAAGCAGCGCCCTCAGACTGAGGTCACCAGAATCTGTGTAGTACCAGTCAGATGCTTACAGAAAATGAGGTGGGTGGGGCCAGGCAAAACAGTTCTTAGGGTCTGTTCTAAGTTACAAAACAGATGCCACCACAAATCTCTTGTTCTGGCTTGCTTTGAAAATCCAGGCCAGCTAGGATGCCCATGGCACTAGAGAAAAGAGTAAAGACTCATTACCATCTTCTATGTAAACTAGAGCAATGGAGGCAGGCAGACAGGAGAAAAGGATAAAAAATACCTATGAAAGCAATACAATTAGGGTTCCTCACCTCCATTCCTTCTCTGAAAGGTTCTTCATCACTTTCTGAGCTGGAAGCAGCATTTTCAGATGAGAGACAGCTGAATAAAAAACTTGTCTGACTTAGTTGTTTGTCAGAAGATTTCTAACCCTGATTTAGAGACCCAGGAGACAAGACACAGACTCAAAATGGAAAAGGTGGAAGACCAACAGCAAATCTAAACAGTTTGAGGGCATTGTTTCTTCCTGTGTCTGTCAGTGTCTCTTGTCTTGGGGTTCCTGCTTTCTTGAAGGTAAAGGCACATACATTTAAATATTTTCTCATATACAAAAAGCTGTTAAAAAACCACAGGCTGGTATACACATTTCTAACTTCTTGAAACTCATGAAGAATCTCTAATATAATAGTCTGTTTTTCCATGTCCATTACAAAAGACATGAACTTATCATATGACCTTGAATAAGGCCAAAATGATTTTATACCTATCTTTTATCATCTAACAATCACACTTGATAGGTCTATGTTGACTGTTAAAATCACATGCTGAGGCTAAAACAAGGAAGTAGAATCAAGTGGTTTCTTATGTCCCTCTGGGCCTGTGATGCACACCTTTGGCCTGTCTGATTCAGACTCCCTTTGTGGGTGACACAGAAGAAGGAAAGAAAAGATAGCACTCTCTCTACAAGGAATTCATAAGCCCAGTAAACTCCAGAGGCACCTACCCACCAGGAAACAGGATGAGCCACATTCTATACTTTTCAGTGTTATCAGACCCATCGCCCTGTAATATACAGGTAAATGAATCAAAGGAGTCTGGGAACTTTTATGATCTACTCAAAGGAGATTGTTATTTGATGGGAAAGGAGGAAAAACAATGTTCTGCATATACCTGAGTCTCTTCTGTCTAATTACATCCCAGCTCCCGGTAATAATAGTTCCAGAAGTCTAGATTCTCAGATACTCTTAAAATCAGATTGGCACTAATCTTACTAGAAGACTGAACATAGTAAGGGAAATTAGTCATCTTAAGATTTGCAGTGGGACAGTCGCCCCAAAAATGCCCAAGCCTCATTGTCAACTAATTGGTCCACTGACCAATTAGCTTGTAAGATTTGTGCTACCCAAATTTCCCATTTTTCACTAAAGAAATCATAGACCATCTAAGGTAACTTAGATGCAATCTTTCTCTCGGCCTCTGCTACATGGAGAGGACAGAAGAATGAGTTTTTTAAGCAAAGAGAAGGAACCCCCACACACATGACCAAACATTTAGAAAGACACAGAAATACGCAGGTTTACTGTTCCTTTTCACATTTATAGTATCATAGAATGTGAAAGCTGGAACGGACCCTACTAAAAAGCCTACCTTCCTAATGATAGTTGGAGGCCAGAGAGGGTCAAGCAACTGGTCAGTCTCTCTTAAGAACAGAGTCAGTATCATAAGGTCCTGTGAAATATATTGTCTATTTGTCACAGTGAGTAAGAAAGGCAATGGCCAACTGTTGGGGAATCAGAATAAAGAACATAGAACAAAGAACTGGGAAAATCAAGGAAGGATCAGTGATAAAAGTGAGTCCTGAGCCAATATAGGACCACACAGGTAGTACAAAGGTACCTAGTTTTACTGTGTACTCTGGATTATTCTCAAAAGTAATTTATGAAATATTATTTTGACCTCACAAAAAAAGGAGCTTAAATCTCTAAGAGGTTGCCACTAATCCAACACTGCACCTATTTTATGTGGTAGAGTCAGTCCTGAACCCTGAGTTTAGTCATTCCATGAATGTCTGAACCTTCTTTAGCAAAAGGAGGTCTTGACTGAGTGTGTTGCTATAACAAATACAGGGATCTTCTTAAACAAAGGAATGAAAAGATGGCATTGCTTCACCTGAGACTTTAGTCCTTCCAAGTTCCCAAGAGCTTCAGATACTGAGAAGTATTCATTTCTTACCACTTCTAATACAAGTTACCACAAATTTAGAACAAAGTGTCAAAAATGCATTGCAGCTCTCAAAGTTAGAAGTCACATGTGTGTGTGTGTGTGTGTGTGTGTGTGTGTGTTAGTTACTTTTCTCCTAACAATAAATCACAATGACCAAAACCAGCTTGTAAATGAAAAAGTTTATCTTAGCCCACACTCCCAAACAACAGGCCATCACTGAGAAAAGTCAGGACCATAGCTCAAGTCAGGAACCTAGAGGCAGGAGCTGATGCAGAGACCACAGAGTAAACCACTGCTTACTGGCTTGCTCCTTATGTCTTTGTTAAGCTTGCTTTTTCATAAGATGCAGGGCCTATCTGCCCATGGGTGACACTAACCCTGCCTATAAGTGGGTCCACTCACATCAGTCAATAATCAAGAAAATACCTGACAAACTTGCCTATAGGCCAGTCTTAGGGGGCATTTTGTCAGTTGACAATTCTCTTCCCAGATAGTTCTAGTTTGGGTGAAGTTGAAAAAAAAAAAACAAAAAACAACAAAACCAAAACAACACAGGTATTCTCAGTAGAGTAAAGTCAGAGTGATAGCCAGAATACAGTTCTTTATTGGGCCTCCTTGAGGGCATTTCCTTGGCTTTTCTTTCTTCCACAGCTGCTCTCATTTCTGCATCTTCTTCTATCTTCTGTGCCAGCAATGGCCTGTGTACTTTTTTAAGGTAGAGATTACATTCTCTTCCTCTCTGCTGTTTCAAGGATCCTTGTGTTTATATTACACTCTTCCATTAAATAACCCAAAACAATTTGTTTTAAAGTCAACTGAGAGGCAACTTGGATTCCATTTTCTATCTTAACTCTTTTAATGTCTCAAGAAAAGAAGGACAAGAAAAATAGAGGACACTCTGATCTTCCTCTGGCTTTCACATGAGAGGACATACCTGCATACTCACGTGCATGCACTACACCATACACAGAATAAAAAAAATAACAAAAAAGAAAACCCCAAAACACAAAACAAAAACAAAGCAAAAACCTTTTGTTATATCAAGTATCCCAAACCTATATTAACAATTAGGGACATTCCTAATTTTTGCTGATTACGTCTCAGAAAACAAGCTGCGTCTACTTCTTCAAGACCTTAACCGAAAATTAACTGGAGCATTATAATTTTTTAAAATTATTTTTATCTTATGTGTATGTGCTTTTTCTTGAATGTATGTATGTGTACTACTATGTGGGTTCAGTTCCTGAAGCAGCTAGAAGAGGACATGGAATCCCTGGAAACTGGAGATATGAGCAGCTATGCGCTACCATTGGATGCTGGAATAGAATCTCAGTCTTCTGCAAGAGCAGTCATTGCTCTAACCACTGACTCATCTCTCTAGCCCCCAGAGCATTATCATTTTTAATGTTGCTGAAATTTACTATTTAATTTAATTTTACTATTTAATTTAATGTTACTGAAATATTAGCAGATAAAAATCAGCTCACCACTTTAGGGATTCTAGAGGCTCCTGTCATGAATACTATTTCCTCTAAATATTAATATTTAGTTAAATAAATTAATATCTTGTATTTTCTATTAAAATTCTTCACCTTAATGAGCTACGCAGTTCACATTCTTCATTGAATTTTATTGACTTTTAGTGTAAGCCTCCCCCACCCCCACCCTGTCCTTGCCCTCTGCTGCTCCATCTTTGGGAGGCCTGTTCTACTTCTACCTTGAATTTTACTTTATACTGAATTTTTAAAAGCAAATTGTCATTTCTTGTGTCACTTTAAGGATCCAATGTACTCTGTCTTGTGTATTGTACTTGAATTTTCAAACAAATTATTTCAGCCGAAAAGAAAGAAAAGGCTCTAAGTAGGACTGAAGGTTTTGGGTAGATTCTCCTCTGCTCACTTCTTTTCTGTATATCCACCCTTGCATTCCTTCATGGATGCACGTACCTATCAATAATCACTTATCTTCTCTTGTCTTTCAGTTATCATATATGTGATTTAGTCAAGGCTTAGAACTTACAACCAAAAATATGACCTTGTGTAAAAACTTCTAACCGCACTACTAAATGTCATGTATACTGCAAGCATAAATATTATGGGGTTTCATAGAGAAGTAAATTTCTGTCTAGTTTACAGTGACCAGGGAAGACCCTTGAAAGGTGCTTGACTTGAATATAGCTTGAATACTGCTGTGTCCAGAGAAAAAGGGCTCATCAATGAAAGTGACAAGGCCCAGGAGAAAAAAAATTGTTTATTAGTTTGAAACTTTTCCTTCCACTCCCAGTTTTCATTAGCCTAAACTTGACAAGTTCTTCAGGAGGCAAGAAGACAGACTTATCTTGTTTCAACGTGTTTCCCTGGTCACGTGGAAAACTCTACCTTTCAAAGGGCACCAGAACTCAAAGCAGAGAAAATGAGGATGGCCTCTTCTCTTTTCCTCTTCACCGTATTACCTGACTGAAGAGCAAAAAACTTATTAGTCAGCATTTTTATACAAGAAAAATATTCATTGTGCCTAGGATACTATGGATTCTCAGCTTAGAACCAACCCCAAAGCAAGCCATTTTGGGGGCGGGGGTGATCTGCATGCCTGCCTCCATGCCAATATCACCATCTACTTCAATGTGTAGAACCATGCCTTGAGCTAGCCTAGACGAAATGTGTGGAAGGGTTTTATGCTTCATGTAGGAATATGCAGTGGAAGTGTATGAAATAAGCCGTACAAGTTCTTAACTCAGACAGACCCCCAGGCCTTAGGCATAGATTTTTCCTACCGGTAAAGATGAGATGAGCAAGGTTGATCTTATCTCTTACCACATCCTGACACAGTGTGAGGAGACAAGTGACTTCAGCCTTGGTTTAACAGACAGATAACATTTTATGAACATTCTTTTCTTGCTGCCTCTAATGAAAGAGTTCTGCATGGAGCCCCTCCCTGCTGAGGTCTGGTGAGAACCCAGAGGCCAAAATGCAGGCTGATTAACAGGCATCACAAGCAGTGACTCAAACCATTCGTGATTTCAGATGAAGCTTGTTACGGTGACTCTACAATTAGGACTTTAGGCCACGTGGCCAGTCCGTCCTCCAGGAGGCTACACCAAGTACTGTATAAAAGTCCCCACCATCCTAGACTCCACAGTCAACATTCTTCATTGAATCTCACTGAAGATCAGGTAAGCATTCTCCCCTCTCTCTTTCTCTCTTTCTCCCTTCTCTCTGGTACCCCTTCCTCTAATCCCTGATGTTCTATCTCTGAGAGGCCACCACTGTTCTGTTCCTACACTAGACTATTCTTTCTACTATAGTTTTAGACAGCTTGCTATTTCTTGGTCTACTTTAACTATCTCATTTATTCTTAGTGTACTGTCCCTGACTTGTAAAAATTATTAGTTAGATTCTGTGGTGCGACTAGACAAAAGTCTGAGAGAATAGAAGAATACTTTCATCTTGGAAACAAGTGTCAAGGGGATCTAAAATAGGGATATTTTTTAAAAAGGAATAAAAATAAGACTTGGAGTTATTTATCTTCTCCCCGTACCCCACTCTCAATCCTTCACACTCATGCACATATTTCTAGTCTCCAGCCTTGGTGTTTTAATATAAAACGTCTCAAATTGTCTGTTTGTTTTCAGGCTCTTCAAATCACCTGAGATGTCTTTCAGTGATCAACAGTGCAAGCAACCTTGTGTGCCACCCCCATGTCTTCAAAAGACCCAAGAAAAGTGCCAGGCCCAAGCTGAGGAGGCATGTGCCCCCTCATGTCAGGACCCCTGCCAAGATAAGTGTCCACAACAAGCTCAGGAGGGATGTGTTCCTCAGTGCCAGGAGTTCAGCCAAGGAACCTGCCCACAGCAAGGCCAAGATCCATGTCTACCTCCAAGCCAAGACCAGTGCCTTCCTCAGTGTGCAGAGCCATGCCCGGAGTTAGCACAAACAAAATGTGTGGAAGAGTTCCCACAGAAGGTACAGGAGAAGTGTCCATCCCAGAGCAAGGGAAAGTAGCTGCTCAAATGCCATCTGGAGTCAAGAAGATGGCCAACAGAAGAAAATACAACCCCAGTCCTTACGGTGACCTTCTCCTGTGGGTATCTCTGTATAAGATACTGTCTTGTCTCCTGACTTCCTCAGCATTCCAGGACTTGGTCTGTACCTCTGAAGATAGTTCTCTGTATTTTATTAACCTCTGTGAATAAGTGTTCTCAGCAGCTGGCAAACAGTCAAGAGTATAGGAGAGTGTGATAATCAAGGCAGATCACCAAAGCCTAACATAGCTCTCCTGGGGCAAAACCCCACTTAGCTCTTAGTCCATAAGGGCCAAGGATGCCTTCATCCATCTTTCAGGGTGCAAGGCTCTCTTTCAAGCCTCAAGAGAATCTTAATTTAACAGCTTTACGGTATTAAGAAGAAGTTGGTGATGCTACAAAATCAAAAATGGTTTAATTTTGTTTCTACATCCTAATCAAAAAAAAATGACTGGACATTGTAATGTGATCTGTGCTTTGTAAAATTCAAACAAAATGTTTTCAAAGACTTAATTCAAACAGCCAATAAGGAACACAAATTGGGATCTTTGTGAATCTTTGTGCTTCGTAGATGAACTTCTTTGGACCATTTGGTTTGAGAGGGCTTCAGATATTGTGTCTGGTCTTTAGTTTGTGTCTCTGCGATAGGAGCTGGATTGTCTCCAGCTTTCTTGCCTTTTCCCCTTGGTGAAAGTAAAATATATAATAAAGCTCTTCCTAAGGCTTATTTCTGATGTGATGTGTCTTTTCCTTACCTTGACTGACTCTCTGGGGATTATATTTTCCTTTTAGAGTAAGTCTGTGGAAAAAATGAAAACATATCTCACAGATGCACAAAACAGCAGCAGAGAGATCTTTGGATTCCCATAGGCCAGCCCCCACACATTCCACACACACTTCTCCAGGCTCATTTGCACACACTTCACATATTAGAAAATGAAGCAAAAGCTGGCACCAACCCATGCTGTAAACCTCAGGCCCAGGTTCTTTCCGCAGTAGTCTACTCCCTCTTTGATGTGGTTTCCAGAGTGAAGGACTGAAATTGAGGGAGAGAAATTGTGTGGAAGAGATACTCCAAATAAACCCATGGACAACAAACAGCAAAGAGAAATAAAGGTGCCTCTGAGATTAACACAACGTGAGGACCAAAATTGTTTGTCGTACTATTTGGTCAGATTTCAGTAAAGCTAATTAATATAGGTAACCTGGTTGTGTTCTGGTGCTCCCCCACCTAAGGACAAAACATAGCTGTGAACTTGTGTATAAGGGCCAAGGAAGTGCCACACTGGCATGAAAGAGCCAAAGGCCAGTTCTTCATTTCTTCATGAATGCCCTGACCTGGCCTGTGGGGAAGATGTGTCAAAGGCTTGGCCTCAGAGTAGAACAGGAGCTCCTTACCCATCCCCTGCCTTCCCCTTCTGCAGTCCTGAGAGAAGGATGTGGAAGGCCATTTGGAGAACATGTTTAACTTGTTTAACTCAACTGAGGACCTCCTGTCACATAGACCATACCTATCTCTCAAATTTAGAGATTTTCTAAGATAAGACACAAATATGACAGAATTTGAGGAAAGGTTTCAAGAGGCAATGTGGAAGCACATGCAGGTGACCTAGGCCATGTCCTGAGCTTTGTGCTTTTTCAACAAGGTTCTCACAACAGCTTCAGGAAGCTCAGCTGCCATCTATTAAGGAGCATGTTTGACCTTATAAGGGCCCTATAATTCAGAATGCTAACCCAGTCACTCTGAATCCTGAACATAGCTCTTATTGGCATGACAAAAATTCATGTGACACTCAGGGAGGTTTTCAGGAACTGTCTTTTCAATTATCTCTCATCCTCATAAGCAGAATCCAGTAATTTTCTGAATGCCAGGCACTCTGCCAGTTAATGGAGAGATGATGAGCCAAGAGGTCAGTATCCCCGTGCAGAGCCAGCGCTGTCTTTTTCTGCCATCCGCTCTCATTAACAACTTTTCTCCAAACTTCCCTGGAACTCTCAAGTCCCTGACCATCTCCAGATGACTGAATTAAAGTTCTTTTGCTTCATTAGCTTGCTAGATAGCTTTTTCTCACCCATTTTCCACACTGAAAATATTCCATTAATCTCCTGGGCCTAGTTGGTTCACAGATGAATCCTACAAAAAGATCTCCAAAATCCTATCATTGAAACTTCTACTGAGATGACAAGTCTCACTGCTATGTCTCGAGCTTGGCTCAAGTACAGAAAAGATCTTTGATCACTAACACTGAAGGCACCCATTGCAATCCAAAATCAGATACCCAGACCTGGAGAGGAAGTGCTGGACTAATGAGCAGGGATGGTCCAACCATATCAGATGGAAAAAGAGCCATGTGATTACAGGGGAGGCCTCCATGGATAGGAAGGGTACTAGGCTGCAGATTAAAGATAGGAAAGCAGACGCCAAGCAGCTGGAAAAGCCTTCATCTAGCTGTCATGGGAACCTACACACAATCTCATACTCACAGAACTCTGATCCAGGCCTCACAATCCATGATCACGAAGCCTGAAGGCCAGGAGAACAGCCAGGATCAAACACATGACAGCCAGATTGGCCTAGCTGACTGCATATGTGTTGAAGCCGTCCAGTGGAGGAGATGCATTACCAAAGAGATTTCTAGTACTGGGACTTCTAGGTGATAGTTAATTGGATATGTGACAATAGTGGGTCTGTGGGGGAAAAGTTCAAGGGAGGATGATATAGATTCACTTATTATTCAAAAGAGCTATGGAATGTCCCATCACCTCCACAGTGTGTTGAACCTGGCTCCAAAGAGCCACAGTGGCATGAAAAAGAAATATAGCTAGAGCAATTGGGAAGGCAGACAACCAGAAACTTGTCATATATTTGGTTAAAAAAGGAAGGAAGGAAGGAAGGAAGGAAGGAAGGAAGGAAGGAAGGAAGGAAGGAAGGAAGGAAGGAAGCAGAGCTAGGACAGTTGTCCTAAAATATTTTAAGAGCTTTTAATAGACAAAGTTGAGATTTCTATGAAGTATAAAAGAAGAAAGTTGGAACCCACAAGCAGGAGCTATGAACTGTGCGTCTGTTTTTAAAACTTTCTTATAACAGAAACTGCCATAGATGGTATAAATGCATTGTGCCCCCAAGCATTGGAGATGCACAAGAAAGCAAGTGACAGGCAAACTTCCCCAGTGTTTCTAACTCTCAGTCTCACCCAGCTGTCTGGACAGAACTGGGATGGGAGCAGGGGTTCTCCCTAGAAACATGAGTAGAACATTTTTTGATGGCTTTCTGAGGGTCTAGGCCCCTGAGGACCAACAGAATATGTGACTCCACCCTTAAGGCAAAAATAAGGACAAGTAAATAGTAGGGAGTAGCTCACTCATATTTAAGGTTCTCTGATATGTTTAAGGAGCTAAGATGTCAGTCTTGAATACATTGTAGAAATTTCTATTGATCTCCAAATCTAATCTCCCAGCTGGGCTGTTCCCCAAGTCTCCTCCTCTTCTATCCTTACCTTTTTGTCATCCAGACACAGCCCATATGGCCCACTTGTTTTTCTACCTGACAACCCTTCACAGCCTCCTTTCTGCCTACATTTGCTTTTCTCTGACTCAGTTCCACCACTTTCGTGTTGAGGAGTCAATGAGATCTTCTCTTGTGTCCCCCTGATCCCTTTTTGAGGTTTGTTTTCTAAGAATAAAGAAAGCACACAAGGGAGGTCATCTTCTTGCCTCTTGTACTCCATTTTGCTATGCCCGTCCTGGGGATCTGTACCACAATTTCCCAATACCTGTGCGTGAATAACATGTATCTTGACAGTCCAAGAGACTGAATGACTCCGAGAGCTTGCAACAGTCTTTACCTGATTTCATAGGGCCAGGAACCTGAAATCCAAGATACCCTCATAACTGGCCAACCAAGAGAACCTCTGACGCAGAGACCAAGAGAACGATAGCCTCTGGGACCCCATTATCCTAACTGATGAAGTGATTTACTCATCTTGGTTTACCTAAGAATTTCCTAATTTACACACTGAAAATTCTGCACCCTGGGAACCCACCAAGTTTTGGATAAGCTGGGTCATTGTTCTGTCTCATGGTGTACCTGCACACAGAGATATGATGCTTAGTGTTGCAGATGCACAGAAGGAAAGCAAGTAAGGTTGTTCCTACTGGAGCAATTTACAACCCCGAGACTTTTCTGAAAAACTGAAGAATCGAATACCTGTCCTCTTTGTAAACACAGTCACTGTGATTTGGTAGGAAGCTAGATCAGCAGGCAGGTGCCAAGGTTATTACTATATAAACCTAAATTAGCAGGTCTTGAACAAGACAGCTGGTGTACTGGGGCATATGTCTTGTGCCACTATCCCCATTGCTATATAGGCTAGACTTTGTCATTGCTGATCTTCTTTCTCTCCTACAAACACCTGCCTTACCCCTAGAGCTGTCTGAAGGACAATGTAGGCTGGCTTCCATGGTCTCCTTAACTAAAGCTTCCTTATCTCCCCTTTTTGCAGCCTGCCTCATAGCTTATCTGTTCTCCTTTGAAAGCTTCTAAGAAAGCTTTTCTCCTTTCCCAACAGCACCACCTAATGACCACAGATACATTCAGCCTTCTTCTAGATACATTATACCTGGAATGGTTCAGAGAGGGCCAGTCTCTGAATAGGCTGGTTCACAAACAATAAACCAGCCAGTCATATGGGAATGGAGAGTAAATGCTGGTGCCAGGAAAATAGAAGTCGCCAAGATTTCTGCAGAACACATGCCGCTACAGGGCCTGTTCTTGATGCTGTGTTTGCTGGTTGGCACTGACCAGCTTTTTCTCTTTCAAATAAAAGGAACTGGAGGGTGACGTCTCTGAACACAATGACACGTAAACCAGGATCGAAAATTCTTCAAACGAATAACCTGGCCTGTTATGTTTTTACCATCACTGAAAATACGCAAGCAGAAGCCAAATGTCTGTCTGAAAGGGTTTTAGGAATTGGGGGCTGAATTTCTTTTCAATGTTTCAATTGTCATATACCTTTGCACTTGAATTCCTTACAGCTCCCTGAGATTTTGTTCCTCTCTAAATGAAAAAGTACAGCTTTGGCTGGCCACTCACAAAAGGAATGCCCACAATCCAAAAACACAGTACGAGCTTCTCAAACCTATAGCAGAAGAGCAACAAGTGGGAACTGTCATTCACTGACTGTTTCCATTCTCTTAAAAACTCACAGCATGGAAGACAGAACTTCTCTACAGGACTCTGGGAAAAGGTACCTTCAGTGGTTAGTGAAATGGCCTTACTCTCCAGAGTCTCAGGTTTCTGTGTTATACACCTACACTGTAGCAACAAAAATATTTCAGTATGACGAATAAGCATAGAAAAACACTGCTTATCCCATTGTCTATCTGAGAAATACAAATTTAAAACACAAAACGAAAACCAAATGTACCAACCAACCAACCATAGTGGAACACAGCATACTGCCTGGGGAGCCTACAATTAAAGGGCAGAATGTCAGTGTTGATGAGGCTATGGGAGCACAAACTGGAGCAACCATTTTGGAAATTCTTTATGAGTAATTAGTGAAGCCAAATATATGTATAGCCAGTGACAATGTGACTACAGAGTTCTCTCTTAGCCACAGGCCTTGGATGTGGTCACGCAAAGCTTATACAGGATAATATTCTAGTGTCACTCCTAGCAGTTAAAGATTGGAAACAACTCAAATTTCCACCAAGGAATAAA